CAACGTCCGAACAATAGGACTTGCAAGATCAACTTGTAAGAAAGTTGACCTACCCCCTTTTAATCAAGAAGTTTGATCAAAAGTTGTATCCTTCAACGTGGTGTGGTACTTGAGGCAAGGAAACCTTCAAGTGTTTACACTATAGCTCTTTGGAAGGAGGAGGAGTTTGCTTCTGGATAAGGAGTTTAGAAATCTCTCTTTATCAAGCTTTTTGGGCTAACTGTGAATGAGATAGCTTTGTTGTTAGAGATTGCTTCGTTGTGTTGGTGTATCACGTCTCTATTTCTCCAGTCTTCCAAGGATGCTATTTATAGCTGGATTGGATAATTTATCCGTTGAATCATAATAGACTATCCGTTGCATTTGCTGGCTTCAATTTTGAATGAAGATTGTGATTTGAAGATTCCTCATTGGAATGGGTGTTTGGACATACCCAATTGTTTGAGGAGGGATTCCTTTTTCCACAGAATCCGTCTTCTAGCTGTTGTTCAAGAATTCAAGACTGTAGCACTTTACTCTGTTTGTCTTCTAGTGCTTGTTTAGGAATTCTGGGCAGGCTCTTTAATTTTAGAAGTCCAGCCTTTGTCTTCCAGTCATTTGTTCTTGAATCAGCGTAATTATCTTCAATCTAGCCGTTGAAAATCAAGAGATTGATTTTTCCTTACCAACGGGTAGAATTTCTTCATTCAAGACTTAGATAATTTTTCTAAGTCTTTTCTCACTTGTCCGCTTTCTAAGAATTCCGGTCTTCAATGAGTCTTCCGATTCTTAGCTGACAGATCCGGAGGAGTCATTCTCAGACTTCCGGGTGAGAAAGAGATCCGCGCTAGTCTTCCGATTTGGATGACTTAGCCTTTAGCGGGTTGTGGCGAGACATCCGGTTCTTATGTAATCTTCCGGATCAGAGGATTTTCATTTGCTTGAGAAATCCTTACTTGTCTCTGACATTTCCGATCAAGATATCCAATTTCCATATCACTGAATTTGATTAAGTCTTCAGTCATCAAAACGCTTAAAGAAATATCACTGCTTTATTGGAAATCTCAAGAACTCGGTTTTAACAATATTTCTAAAAAGAAAAATTACATTGAATATTGGGGGAGACCTAAAGTCCCTATTACATTCTAAATACATCATCATCAAAATCTATAATATTTTTCCCAACAGTTAGCTATTACATTTAAATACATTCTAATTGTTGTTTTCATACACCATATGATTCAAACAACACATTTCATATATTCCTATGAAGTCTCATAAATTTAAATACAATACTATGCTATTAATGTAGACACCTGATCATGGCTCTACAAGTACCACATCCAGTTCACCAGTCACAGAAGAGAATTCCAAAAAAAGGAGGTGTTTAAGGTTTCATGTCTCTTAATGAATCTAGCATGTCATTTGAAATCCATGATGTTTTCTGAAATTTAATTAATCAACTTTGTCCCAGTGCGAACACCCATGCTGCTATTCAGACACCTTGAAGCTACCAGATGCAGTATGATCAGGCAGTGGAATTTTCCTAGCTATAATGGAATGACGTTTCTTCGAATAAAGTTTAAGTCTGTCGTCAGTATTTCTATTCCCACGTGGTATTAGTGACTACGTTTAGAATCATATTTATTATTGCAGAGTCAAGACTCTATGTACTCTTGGTTTCCTACACATTTCATGATTGGAATAAATCATTTTGATATTCGGATTAACTATTAAACCTATACCATTATTCACACGTGTCTTGATTAGTATGTTTGGTCACATGAATGAGCAATTCATAAATGTTTACTATGTTCCTATGTTTAAGTAATCAAAGACTTTCACACCCAGGTCATGACTGTTTGCGTATGACAATTTGATATAAATGTATAACCTATAGTTTAAAGATAACCACTTATTAATCCCATCATTGTAGAACGTAATTATGTTTTCAGTTGTAAATATACACACCTATATACACATCTTAGGTCACAAAATATGAAAGAACGCATATTCCCCTACTGTACATATCCTCTTCAATTTTATGATCTTTATGCCTTAATGTGCAACACCTTGGCTTGGTTTTATTAGAACCCCACACATACTATACCCACTTATGCACTTGGAATAAGGAGATAAATACTTTCACTGTCTGTTCTACGGACATTCTGTTTGCAGAAAAAATAAATATGAACCCTCAGGTACAAATTCTCAGTCATTGAAAGCCTTTTTACACTTCCTAACCTTTGAAACTGAAATCTTATACATGTGTACTTAGTGAATTGTTGGTACACAGATTTCAAAATGATCCCTACGTTGGTATCTGCACAAGGTATGACTTCATACAATAACAAGGTCAAAGAATAGAACACCAATACACAAGCAGTCAGCTCCTTGACCTAGAATAACAGAATTAGTGTGATGAGATTCAACAACCACTTTGGACAAAAGCTTAGTCTGTATGTTATATATTAGTCAGAAATTAGGATTCACACCATGATCAACACGTAAAACCATCTCTGGTACCAAGAAGTCATCGGTTCCTTCAACTTAATTCTTCTGTTGTTTTTCTCTTTAAAAAACAAAAAAATGAAATTTCTTACATGGGAAGTCATGAATTGGTGTGCATTGAACCATGAACTTCTATAATTGACCTGAGAATGGCCACAATTAGTGCACGTTCCATGCAGCACCCTAGCAGTATTTGATGGAAATATACTGACTTGGAAGTATATGGATAAGAGGTAAAGCTAATTCCAAAAGTGAGAGAATTCAATGAAGCAACAATTCACTTGGCTGGTTTGCTTCTTATAAGAAAAAATGAATGAATTTTCACATGAATAATGTGGTATCAGTGTATATTAATTGTTTACACACTAAATGACTCACTTCACTTGCATCGTTATTTGGGTCAGTTACTGGTCATTCTTCATACACGAAGAAATGTGGAGACAGGATTTTTGATTCTTTATATAGGGACATCCATTTAATTAATCATAATGACATAAATATGAAAACATATGAAAGATTCAGCCACACAAATTACATATCAGTTGCATTTTCCTGGTCAAAACAAGTTAAAGACTTGAGTACAAGATATTTGGTTTGTCATCTCATTTCTATTCATTATGAAATTTTAGAGATGTATAAAAATCTTATTCGTTAAATTGAAAGTCAGGTATCATTGATCAAATATAGAACAGTTTGAATAAAACCTTGATAGTGTAATGAGACAATTGTAGCTTTATTACTTTTGGTGTTTAGTGTTTCATGGCATATTGGACTGAGTTTATTTCCTTTATGGCTATTTTGTGTGCCATATGTTCAGCTTCCTTACAATTACATTACGAGTGTGATTCCTGCTATTTTGTGAACACATGTAGCTTCTTTGAGTTGTCATTTGTAAAAAATAAATTATTACATGAGCTACAGGTGGCCTATTTTTACTTAGTCATCGTTTGAGGTGGCTATCTGTAATTAACATATCAACAGCCAGCGCTAAAGCCACTAGGAAAAGCAGCCAGACACTCGAAGTTCTCAAAACCCTTTATGCGAATCCAGATGATTCACAAACTACAGAGAGCTGGAGCCGAGGTAATACTGCCTTCGGTGGAGAAGAAGCTCTGGGTGGACGCATTACACGGAGTAAAAAACATAGCAGATACACCTATTTCAGATTGTGCCGATATTGAGTTTCTGCTCAATTTGTCTAAGTTTGTTTCTGCTTGGTCGTTTCACCGGCGTATGTATTACTCATATTCATATTGGTTATTGATGGATGTATTTTCCCAGCCATTATTGTTTGATGTCTATTTTAATATTATATGTGAGTCACATTGTTAATAGAACTATATACTAATTAGGATGCCACACCTTGAATGTTTTCATGATTTACAGGGAGGGATACCTGGTGTGGCTACACTCAAAACTGATTAAGTTTATGAATCTTAACTGCAGGTTCTGTTTTCAATTGCTACATTGACGATACACCTTCAGATCAGTAATGTGTGTTTCCTTTTCAATTACTAATTCCTACATGTTCACACGCACAGAGACGACTTTGTCCATCCGTGTTTTTCATTTCATAGCCACCCCTTCATTGTCTTTAAGTATTAAAAAAATACACTTTAGACTTGATGCCCATAATCATTCTGAAAGTAGAAATTATTGCACGTTCCAGATGTACCTTGTTCAGTGAGAATGACACCAATATTTGTTTGAACGTTCTAGACGTTTCATGTTCACTGACAACGACACCAATATTTGTTCTTCTTAACCTGAGTATGTGTTGGATGGTCTGTCTACAGAGGAGGGTGACACCTGAAAGCCTTATATATAGAAAATAATGACAATTCTTAAAATTTCTTAATACCAAATGTTCATGTATTTGATAATTTCTTGGCCATTTGGTGTTGGCTTTGGGTTTAAACTACTCTTTGCAGGCAAAGGATTTTGACTTCATTTTTGGGTAATGGAATGATGAGTATAACATCTCAGTTTGCAGAATGTAGGTTCAGTGAATTGTGGCTTACAACCTACAATTTATAGATACCAACTAATTAAGGAACCAATGAAAGGGATTCTCACTGCCCGCAGTCCTGGGTTCAGATTCAGATGCTGAATTCACAGTAAACAGGCATGGGCTGCTGTTTTAATGGCTATACATGCCAATGGTATTTGACTATGTTGAGTTCAGTGTTATTCATAGTGTCATGACTATATGCATTTCTGTGCAAGTGTAGTCTAATTGGTGTGTTATTCATAGTGTCATGACTATATGCATTTCTGTGCAATTGGCCAAGGAAGCCATAATTCCCACATAATTACTCTGTACGTTACATCATACATATGTTTTTGTTAGTCTTTATAGCACTAATTTAACACAGTTCATGTGATATACTCCCTCCGTCCCCCAATTTTTGTCCATTTTAGACTTTTGGAACTGTTCATCTAAGTTTTTTGACTCATCAAATTCTCTCAATGTGTAAGCCTAAATATAGTCACGTGTGATCTTGTTTGATTCGTCTTAACATATAGATTATTAATATATAATTTCTATAATTTTTTAATATACAAATTACAAGATAAAATGGATTAAAGAAGTGCATTGGATGATGTGTAAAAATGAAAGTGGACAAATACTTTGGGACGGAGGGAGTAGTAGCAAAGAAAAAAGATGTCTTGTGATATTTTTCTTTAATGATTTTCTCATACTAATGCACATAAGAGCATTGAAATTTAAAAATAAAAGTGGAACAAAAATATATGATAATTAGAATGATGATACACAGAACAATCAACTTGTTGAACAAAGCTTTCTCAAACCCATTTCTGAAGTGACAAGTCGCAACAATACGTGGACCAGCTCTCTCACCTTGGCTTCCCTTGATATGACTAGTTCACTAAAGGAAGGGAAAAAGAACGATCAAATGCAAATGGTTTGCACGATTCTCCTGTACAAGGCCACTCTTTAATTTTGGGTGTAAAGGAAGAAATGATGCACTATCTGATTGAAGCACAAGACAAGCCAGCTCCTGGAGAACAAAAAGAACTTCTTCTAATCTTGCTGCAGGCAGTGGACAATCCCCTAGTTCATTCTCATCCTTCAAAAATTTATCTAGTATATATTCACATCTGATCAACAATGTTCCAATTGAGATTTTGCTAACTTGGGAACTAGTTGAATTTTGGTCGCTTGTTCTCTGCCTGCTCAACAAAAACAACTTCTGCAAGCAGGTCAATGAAAATTTAATGCAATGTGGAGGCATAAGTTCAACAGTCTCAAGCGGCAAGGAGCATGTCCTTGAAGCACATATATCTAAGGTGGAGATTAGTCGCTGCAGTATATCAGCGGGTGCATCAGTCCTGGAATTGAGAATATTGTCTCCCAAGATATCCAAGATATTCATTTCAAGAGACTCATCAGCTTTCAGGGCCAACACAGAAAGTGCATTTGAAGGCAGAGCACGACCACAATATCCCGCAAGAAATATTTCATAAATATCAGCAACTGCTTTCCAAGTGCGTACTTTTGCAGATCTTATATTAGCTATATCTGTTGTTGAGCTTTTGGTCACCTTGCTAAGATCATCAACCATAAATTTATTGAATGTTTCAACTGCTATTCTCCATAGTGTGCCATCAGGAAAGTCTCTTCTTGTTGTCATACATCTTCCTAAAACATGAATAATGTCAGGGAAAACGTCATACTTCACTGCAGCTGGAGCTTGCACGCAAAGATCTGCTAGTACAGGAATAAGTTTCTCGGAGAACATATGTGTTGAGACACTTGGCCCTGCAGGTGATAAATTTTCTGATTTTTTTGGAGCATTTGAAGCAATTCTACAAGGAACATCAACACTATCGGCAGTGTTTCCTTGATCTCCATCATCAAGTTCGCCAATGGAAGAATCACATCCTGGAAGATACTCCATTAGTTTCCCAAGGAAAGGGGGCCACATTGTAGCAATATGATTAGCTGGGCATACGATTGGTAGAATCTCAAGTATAGTGCGCTGCAATGGTGGAAGATGGCCATAATCAGCTTCAAAGTTGCTATTTGCAATCTTGGTTTGTTTGATCCCCACATCTAGAACTTTTAGCAGCTTTAAATACATGAAGCTGTCAAACATTTCCTGCGCTTGAACATATAGATCACCAAGACTAAGTAAGATTTCTTGTATCACTTTGCTGGTTGCACTATTGCTGTAGTTTGGCAACTTCGAAAGAACAAGCTCGTAAATATCAAGGACAGATATAAGGTATGGAAGTGGCAAATTTCCCTTAGGAGACTGTGAAACTATGGTGGAATGCAAGCAATTTATTGCTGCAAGGGCAACTTCTTTACTACCATGCAAGATGCTGTTCTCAACGAGGCACAGTAAAGAGTCCCATCCTGATTGAAAATTACTTAAATTTCTGAGTAATGGGAAAAAGGTTCTTAAAACGCGTGCAATTCCACCCAACACAAGAACTAGTGTCTCATCCCATTGTTTCTGAGCAGTATTCCGGCTATGGTGTATGAGCATATGAACCGCTTTTCCTCCACGTGTTCCAAGCTCTTTTCCTTGCCATTCAGCTTTTGATGAGGTAGCCGCCATGTGAGAAGCACAATCAAGTGTAGGAAAAACATAATTGCACAGACAATTCTCCCACATCCTATTTGAAAGTTTTTGCCCATGGCTTCCAAGTATTTGAAAGAGTGTCCGGACAGCAGAATTACGTACCTCAGGTCTCTCATCAGCTACCAGACTTTGTAGTAATGAGAAAACAGAAAATAACAATTTGTCACGATCAATTACGTTAAGCTGTAATGCTTGCTCCCTATAATTATTTGAAGAAGTGAGATTATACTCCTCCATAATCCCATTGTTTATTTTATAAGATTCTTTATGTTCTTCGTGAGCATCTTGGAGCCCCTTGGCCCCCTTGACAAGAAAATCAATAGAAGTCCATAGAAGGCCTACAGCTGTCAGGCTAATGTTTAGTTCAGTTTTCTGTGCACAATATGATCCAGTAACATCGATACAAACCTGACGGCAATTCGTAGGTATTGATGAAAGGCCATCATTCATAATAATGTGGAGGCACTGGAATCCAAGAGAAATGAGATCCTTCTCAGTGGCATGCGCCACAGACCTTAGAACGTCAAGAATATATGGCCAGCTATAATGCAGCTTTTCTCCATGCCTCTCCAAAACATGAAGAAGAATTTTAAGCAATGTAACACAAATACCAACGCTTTGTGTTGAAGAATAAAGGGTTGTTAAGGGAGATATGATAGCACGTTCGAGTGATCTCATCTCTATATTCTCAGGGCAAACATTGCTGGCAAAGACTTTAGAGGAAGCTTGTTCCTGAAACACTTCAGATCCTAAAACAGCACATATAGATTGATCCATCGCATTCAGAGCCAAATTTCTAATATGTTGGTTTGAACTACTTGTGAGCTCAGTAAAGTGGCCAATCACATCATCCCACAATGAAGCCACCCTATGAAGATTGTTGACTAGGACCGAAAGCATTCTTTCAATCGCAAAGCTGATGCTTCCGACCTTTTGATTTGATGCTTGTACAAAGCTAACCGTTGCAGAGAGGGACTGATGTGACAACTGACGTAATGCAGAAAGTAGGGATTTGACTGCAGATACATGCATCAAAGCTGAGCTTTCAAAAAGCTGAGAGTTTAAAGAAGACAGTATATGAAAATCACTGTACTGGCCAGATGAATCCCTTGTTAGTTTTGGAACAGCCATAGACACCTCCTGTGTTGCTGCATGAGGAGAATGAATAGCTCTGTCAAGAGCAGCTAGTGTTTCCAGTACCAATATCCATGAAGGGCCTAAAACATTATGCAGCCGATGAGCTATGTTAAAAAGTGTCCTTAATGCCTGGACATTCTTAGGTGTAAGAACAATACTTTCCCTGAGTTCCAGGAATGCTTCTGACCGTTTTGAACCAGGTGATTGTACAATACTTCTCCTTTCAACTTCATTTGGGATGCCGATTGTAAATTTGCAAAGCGATGCAAGAAAAGAATTCAAAGGCTCAACTGCTCGGAGAACACCACAAGACTGTGTAAATGCTTGATAACCCTTCAATATTTCTAACACAATAGCTTCAACTTGAGACTTCGTCAAGATGAAGGACAGAGCATCAAGAATGGTCAGCCACATTGAATCTACCATAGAAGTACAAAGCATTGCCGTCTTTCCTGTGCATTTTGTTGGTGGACCAACCTCAAATCTCGGTGATTCAAGCTCACCAACATCTACTGCCTCATCAGTCAAAGTGGCCACAGCAAAAACAATTCCAAGCAGGCCTTCAATTGCCAATGTCACTGCATGGGCCTCACTAGCAACCAAGACAGCAGTATTGGATGCATCACTATCCAAGCTCCACCCTAAACATTCCAGCAACAGCTTCAAGGCTCTCCTCGCATGTGTCTTGAAACTGAATGCTTGAAACAACCCTAGCAAGTGATTCCACCATACTCGCAACCACATTTGAGTTTTTGGGATTCATGTCAAAATTCTGAAAAAGTATTCGCAAAGTGTGTGCCTCAACACAAAAACCCCTCAGAATTTCAAGAACAAGAATGTGATGCCATAGTGGTAAGTCAAGAGAGATAGCCCTCACTAACATGCTGAGAAACACCTCAGATTCAGTTATTAGCAATGAACTATAAAGTCTGATTACATGGGCAACTGATCGCAAGACCAACCTACGGAAATATGGTTCTCCAGTTTCTCCTTCAAACTCAGAATCAGTACGAAGTGATGTCATTAGGATTGAACATATCTGGCGTCGGAGAACCTCCTCGTATGGAATCAAGGTTCGGAATAACACCACATAATTGGACAGAATAAACTCAAGTATGTCAAGCACAAACGTTCTTTGGAGGGAGCTGACTCCTAACCAATTAGCAGAACCACTTGCTGCAAGAGATGCCAAATCCTCAAGCAAAATAAGGCCAAGCTTTCCAGCTTTAGTTAATGTATTCCTCATTAATAACGAAGTTCCAGAAGTAAACTCTTGCTCCAATGACTTTAGATGTGTTATATTGCAGGTAATGTCACTTGTAACCGAATTACTTCGAGACATATGGACTTCAGAAGCAAATTTAAATTTCTCAGAGGGAAGAGACTCAGCAGTAACCACCCTATCAAATATTAGGGCAACTGCCTGTCTAAAGGTTGCTGCAGCTGTGTTCCGTACACTATAAGATTTATTGCTTTCAAGAAGCCGGAGACAAATGTCAAGAGCTTGAGCAGTATTCACCTCATTATCAGGTTGTAAACAAGATTGGAACATTACAAGGATAGTTTGTAGTGTCTTGAGTTGAAGACTCTCATCAGCCATTTCACCATGGTCTTTGAGGGTGCACAGAATCTCCTCTAAAGCTGATGGTGCAACTGCATCATGGGATATGAGCTTTTGCAGGCAAGATAGTCCAATCACACTCAACTTAACCGTCCTAACCTTACAGGCCATGAGAAAGATGTTGAGTATATCTTCATTTTGAGCAATTTCACTAGGGCTTGACAATGATCTCAGCTTCAAAATAGCATGTTCTGCGGCGTCCTTAACGTTAGGGTTCCGGCGGCGAGCCTCCGCAGAGAGAGCTCTAAGATCTGACTCCAAGACCGCCATGAGTGTCATCCCACTCCGATCAAATAAAGCTAGATCCAGTATTTCCTCACACCCTTGTAGCCCTGATTTGAATCTTTGATGTGTGGTGGTGTCTTGTATCGCAGCCTCCTCGCCCGTGTGGCGATGTAATTCCTCCGGCGCTGTATCGCAGTAGGAGAGGGACTCCTAATTGACGCAGCTTTTTTCTCAAGGAAGATGATAGGATACACCAAATGTCCCCCACCTCTCCACCACCATTTATTTTTATTTCATTTTTATTTACTTACTCCGTATTTTTTTTAAATTTTTTTGACTATTTTAATAGACAAAGAGGAGGTGGGGAACATTTGGGGTACACTTTTGGTGTACCCCTAACATTTTCCTTCTCTCAATTCCTTTCTTGATTGTATTGGTTTCTTTTATATATATATATATATATATATATATATATATATATATATATATATATATATATATATATATATATATATATATATATATTCCATCATCTCCGATGGGGCCAAAATTTCACCATTTTTGGCTTTGGGGTGTGATGGAATAAATCAAAATGGATCTCTAAACTATCTGCATTTTTTTAATTAATGAAGTAGCAGTTAGTCAAACAATGCAACTTTCGACGTTGAGCCAGAGGTCTCTTTGGAAATAGTCTCTCTACTTTTGAGTAGGGGCATGGTCTGCGTACGCACACCCTCCCCAGACCCTACTCTTGTGGGATTTAACTGGGTTGTTGTTGTTGTTAGGGTTGTAAACGAACCGAATCGAATCGAATATTCATGAAAAATATTCATATTCGTTAAGATGGAGTGATATTCGAATTCGAATTCGGTTCGAATATTTTTTAAGATTCGTATTCGGTTCGTTTAATATACTAAACATATTCGGTTCGTTTAAGTATTCGATTCGTTTAAGTATTCGATTCGTTTAAATATATTCGGTTCGTTTAAAAATATTCAGTTCATTTAGATTTTAAAATATTTTATAACCATTTGATATATATATATATATATATATATATATATATATATATATATATAATTTGTATAATTAGATTTATATTCCGAATATATTTGTCAAACTCACGGATCGAATAGCCTTGATTCATATTCGTATTCGAATATTTATTCAGATTCGTATTCGTATTTGAAAAAATCGAATACAAATCACCTTAAACGAATACGAATCACGAATCGAACAAAAAATATTCGATTCATTTACAACCCTAGTTGTTGTTGTGTGTGTGTGTGTGTGTATATATATATATACACACACACACACATACAAAACTCTAGAATTGAGATATGGGTTAAAATCTAATGCTTTAATCTCATTTCAAACTTTTTTGTAGAACTTATTATTTTTCCAAATAATCTAAAAACTTCATGTTTTATTGAGATTGAAAAGTTACTTAATTCAAATAGGTGATCCTCATAAGAGTTTAGTGATATGTCATTCCGAGATGACAATTGATATGCACATATTTTATACACTTTTTAGGCATATTTTGAAGGAATTTTGAGTCACAATTGAATTTAATGTTTATATTTTATTTTAATTTTCCGTTTTATTTTTGGTGAGCAGTCCTATGTTTGGTTTAATATGTTTTGCAGGTATTTTGAGATTATTTGGCCGCATTGAGAACAATTTCAAGAACGGAAAATAAACATGGAAGTTTGGGACCAAAATAAATGGAAAAGATTTGAAGAAAAGAAAGAAATAAATTTAAAAATGAAAAGATTAAAGCTAGGATTAAAACTCTAAACTTTGGGGCAAAGGATTGAAGCTTTGACCATCACGCCACAACTGACTATTCATAATATCACTGGCGGAGATGATATATATTATCTGTTCATAAATTCGGCCCATGAATTGAGAGAAAATGACAAAACAGAGAACGGTGGAAAGCCTCGAACATGGGTCACGTGACACGACAAGCAACCCCATTTCCGTATGCAGTACTGTGCTTGTGCTAACTTCTAGTGGGACTGTTTGTATATACTACGTATATACGAATTCATCTATAAAAACCCAACTCTTCTCTTCTTCTGGAGGTTGGAACCCCCATTTTCTCTTCTCCCTCCCATTCGAAATTCTCTTCCTCTCTCACTAATATCTCACCACTTTTTTCATCGAAACACATAAAAATTATTCCATCTTCATCATCATCTATTATATTTGGAGCTCAAGAACATATCTTCCATTTTGTAAGATTTTTATGTTTGTAATAAATATTTATTTGTTTAAGCTTCAAACAATGAACTTCTAAATTCCATTGGGGTTAGGAGTTGGTGAAATTAATTGTCCATCTTAATGTTTTGAATATTTTTAATATGGATTGTTAATTTTATTTTATTTAGATGTTATATTTAAAAATAAATAAATTTGGAATGTTTGTGATTTTTAATTAAGGACCCAATCATAAACATAATTGTTACAAGGAATATGAGCTAAAATTGATATAATCATAAAATAGAACAATTTTTTAATACACCGCAAGTCTTCTCTATCTTTAACTGGTATTGAAGACTTTCGGGTGAACATAATTATTGAGTTGTATTTTTACACCATTAAATTGGGTAAACATACAATAAAATAATTGTAGTTGCCATTGTTACTAAATAATTACTCCGGATTTATCATTATCGTGTTAAAGTCAGAGTAGTTATTATTTAGGACTTTAGGTGAACTGCCCTAAGTACTTTTCTGCAACCCCACACATTCTATATAAAAATAAATTTACAATCCAACTTTTATAAAAACATTGGACAATTAATTTACCAATTTCTACCCCTAACTTTTCATCATTAAAAACTTTGTGTTGTTTGGAACTCTCTCATTTTGCACTTTTTATTTTATCTCTAAAAACAAAAAGACCAAAAATATTTTACAATTTCTTTTGTAAATTTTTGTTTAAGTTAAATTAACTCACGTCTCCCTGAGGTTTGACACCCTACTTACAAGGGTTCTTTTTAGTTATTAGTTTTACCCGTTCTATACTACAAATCAGCAATCCACTTAAAAAATTTTAAAATAATATCTTGGTAGACGAGTTGAACTATGAAAAATAAAGTTAACATATGATCTTAAATACTTGTTCTGTCCTAAATTCAATTTTCCAGATTGACTAAAACCTATTTTTAAGTGATTGATTAATATGGCTTTGACTTCCAAAATGCCCCTCCATCTAAAACAAGAAACATACAATTTTTCTGTCTTTATTTCCACTAATTGGCAGTGTAAACGGTGGTCAGGCGGCTTGCACGCTGGCGATAAATGACTGCACAATTAACATGTCTAGCCCGATCAAAAAGCACAGCTGCTAATGAAGCGGTATGTAAATTTGGCCAAATAATAAAACTATTGATGAGTAACAAATTGAATAACCAATCGAAAAAGTACTGAATTCTAATTAAAAGAATAATTGAAAAAACTTTCCAATGACTAATTATTGTCATTGATTTTATTATTTTACACATCGTTAATGTATTAATTTAAATGAATTTTTTCATAAAGTAAATAAATCTAGAATAAAAGTTATTGGGTATATTACATTTAAAAAATCAACACAAATAGAAACAAAGCATATCGAGAAATTTACCTAAATAGGACTAAAACATAATGACTTTCCCAATATAGGACCATATGTTTTTATTTCCCAATATAGGACCTTTGGTCATTATCAAGTAGTCATTATTCAACTAAATGTCCATCATCACTGGACATTATTCCTTCCACTAGGTCATTATTAAGTCCTATTTAGAAAATAAAAAAGTTTAAGTCCTACATTAGGAAAGTCATTATGTTTTAGTCCTATTTAGTCCTATTTACTGTATCTTTTAAGACCAAATAGTTCCTGTACCCCTCATAGTTTAAAAAATAAACACCAATGCCCCCCTCCTGTTTTCAAAATTTATTTCTAAAATCCCGTGGTTTTAAAATGTTGCACTCAAACCACCTCTGGCCATTTTTTGGTAAAGAAGAAGACGTTGATGCTTATTTTTTCAAACCATAATGGGCATTGGTGCTTATTTGTTATTTTTTGTTTCCCCCTTTATTTGTTTGTTTCATTAATCAAAGATTTTTTAAATATCTTTTTAAAAATATTTTTTTAATTTCTTAAAATGTAAATTATTTTTGTTTGAAAAAAATAACTAACATATTTACTTTTTAAATATAAAATTTTATCTTTTAAGTGCAATCAAGTAAATTGAATTAAAAATAAAGTTGATCAAATCTTGTAATCAGAAACAAGAAGAACATTTTAGGATGAAGGGAATATGTGTTTTAATATGACATCATACAAAAATTCCGAGTGAGTGCAAAATTGGGAAATTCATTCCCAATTGGTGAAGGTGCCGCGCGCATGGTTTGGCATTTTAACACAAAACAGTACAACTAGTACCGTTATGTTAATTTATTTTGTATTAACGGTACAAGTTGTACTGTTAACCCTTGAATTATTTAAAATATTATATTTAATACTTCCACTCCTTAAATATACGTACTAAATTTGAACAGTAATAATATCTTTATTCATTTGTTGCGCTCTACTGAAATTAAAAGCATACAAATAAAATTTTTCATATTGTTTAAAAATCCACATAGAAATTTATAATTTAACTAAGTACCACGAGGATGTCTTCGTGATCGCATATCCATATTATTAGTGAAATGGGTATGGTGGTAGATAAGATTTTTTAGTGGTAAATGAGATATTTTAGTGGTGTTAGATGAGATATTATTTTGTTAGGTGGATTGTATAGTGTTGGATGTTTTGTGGTGTTAGACGAGATGTTTTTGGTTAGGTAGATTCAATGGTGTCGGATATTTAGTGGTGTTAGATGAGATATCATAAAGTACATAAACATCCAAATTAATACAGTAATAAAGCTTTTAGCATCTAATTTGAACATTAATAAAAATTTTAATACTTTCATTCGTTAGAAATACGCATTAATTTTGAACATTAATAAATTTTTATTTATTTGATACACTACTACTGAAATAAAAAGCATACAAATAAAAGTTGCCATACATATTTAAAAATTTCCCATTGAAATCTTTAACTTAACTAAGTACTCCGACGATGCCTTCGTGATCGCATGTCCATATTATTTGTGAAACGAGTGCTCATTGTAAATGGTCGGACTAATTCGTAATCCAGAGTAGGCCATTCAATTTCATTTTGTAATGGCATAACACTTCTAGAATATGCATCAAGGTAATTTTGAAGTGAGACACTCCTGGAATGAGATCACCAACCATAATATTGCAATAACGACATACGACGTAAACATGCACACATGGCATATGCAATGTGGCCCATTCCCCGCAACTGCACATTTTTGGCTCAGTTGCACGACAATCCCATCGAATCTAGGGGATAGTATTGAAAGCTACATCAATACCCCCGTGCCTATCAAAAATGATGCACAGCGACTTATCGAAAGGTATTACATAATGCATTAAATGCATCATGAACCAGCTCCAACTATCTCCATTTTGGCGTTGTTGTTGGCCGCATTTGAATTTCGGCCACTGACCCAGGACTGCTTAAATATTGGCTTCTGTACTATTTGACAGTCCAAACTGAAGCATTCTCTGCCATCTGATGAGCCATGGACACTATTTGGATACGAGTATTTTGCCAGCCAATAATTGTGATACTTTGAAGAAGTTCGAAAATGTCTATGCTCTGCTATATTACGTAGCGCCACTACAAATTGTAGGCTTTTGAAATCACCATAGCGATATCCAATTTGAATTAGGGGTGTATACGAATCAAATCGAATCAAATATCTAACTATTCGATTCGTATTCGTATTAAAAATCTCTATTCGAATTCGTATTCGTTTATTATTCGAATTTTTAAAAATATTTGTATTCAATTTGATAACATATTCGATATATTCGTATTCGTATTCGAATATTCGAATTCGAAATCTATTTCACTTGAATTTTGTCAAAAAAAAAAAAGTCTTCAGCATAGTATAGAGTATAGACCTGTATTCTGAAATCTATTTCCAAAAAAATACAGATAATAGTCTTTTTCCTAATTTCAGAGATTAATGATTAAATTTTAAAATTATCTTTAATCAAACTCAACTAAAAGGATGGGAAATTGAATCACACAGGCCCATATCAAACTCAAATCAAGTAACAAAAAATTTGCATTGCACAGGCAGTGAGTAGTAAATTTGCATTAGATTCCCTTAAATCTTATCCATAATAATCACATGAAGAGAAAAATTATTTGGAACTAATCGTAGGAGATCCACTTCTTAATCGGAGACCAAACAGCAATGATAGAAACTCCAAATATAAAAAAACCAAAAAAAAAGATTGATGAGACAAACCTAGCTCAAATATAAGAAACAAATAATCAATCTACAAACTCCAAATTGAATGAAGCAAACCTCAACAAATTCGCACCTAACGCCCGGACTAGCTTAGTGAAATCAAGATCTCACAAACTAGAAAGGAAATAAGATCAACAGAGGAATAGAAGAAATCAACGAGAATACGTATATGTCATATGCGGCGGTGATTGAGCGGACGGAAAACATAGAGCTAGGAGCCGCCGAGGAATAATGAGATCTTTGAAAATGTTAAAGCGATAGGGTTATTAGGGTATCTGTGATGGAGAAAAGAGAATAAGATAAGGTTGGTTTTGAAGAATCTTGACCATTAAAAATATTAAATCCAATGTATATTTTTAATATTTTTAAGATAAATATATTTTAATATTTATTTATTTTTATTATTCGAATAATTCGTAACATAAACGAATCGAATCAATTTATACTCGTATTCGAATTCGAATATTTTCAAATCTAAAATTTGATTCGTATTCGGATTCGAATTCGATTAAAGCGAACACGAATCATCTTTTTCGAATACGAATCGCGAATCGAATTATAAATATTTGATTTGTATGCACCCCTAATTTGAATTTCAGGGATACAGAATGTTGGTTGTAATGAGACTTATTCAACGTGCCTATGGGTCAGAAAATTGGAAAATCCTCGTGAGCCAAAACTTCAACTTGGTTTGAATCCAAGTAAACCTCAAGTTCATCATATTGCTTCGTTACCTTTTGAACGAAACACCTCCATGTTTGCTTCTCAGAAATGGGGAAAGGGGTGAAGCGGCATATACTCCATCTTTGTATTTGGGATATTTTCCTCAAATTGTTTTTGATGAAATTGAGATTATCTTCACCAATAGCATCGAGGAGTTAATTGAAGACCCCCTTGAATGACATATCAAGATAAAAAAACAAAGGCTTTTTTGAATCCAATTAGTTCTCCACCTCATTGTTCTTGATCATTATCTCACCGTTCTAGTGGGCAAGCAAGACAAAACAACCATCAGAGTTCATTGTTTGGTAAGAGGATTGTGAGAGATGTGAGTAGATGTGTGAGAGTAAAGCTCGGTGATGAAATTATCAAAGTTAAGCAACAAATATATAGATGAGATATTTATTTTTGTTAGGTGAATTGTATGTTGTAGGATGATTAGTGGTGTTAGATGAGATATATTTTTTGTAAGGTGGATTATTATATGGTGTAGAATGGTTAGTGGTGTTAAATGCGATATTTTTTTGATAGGTGGATTGTATGGTATAAGATGCAGATTAGTGATGTTAGATGACATATTTTTTTTGATAGGTGGATTGTATGGTGTAGATGGGAGAGGGCTGTCACAATTTTTTTTAATGTTAGATGTAGATCGGATGGATATGCATTAACAATTTTTTTAATTTAACGGTACTGCCAGTATCGTTAACCTATTTTTAATTAAATTTTTTAATTTAACGGTACAACCAGTTCCGTTAACCTATTTTTAGTTAAATTTTTTTAACTTAATGGTACAACCATTACCATTAACCTATTTTTAATTAAAGTTTTTTTAAGATAACGGTACAACTAGTACCGTTCATTCCTGACAGCTCTAATCGGGAATGCTTTTTTCTTTCCTTCACTGAATGGGAATTAAATCTTAAAAATGAGGGAGGTTAACATTATTACATTACACCAACCAAACATCACATTAATAGCGACACCTATTCAATTGAGACACATACGATGCTTCATTTGCGAAATTGGTAATTCTCACCCCTTAGCCCCGTTCCGTTCAACTTATTTTTTCTTATTTTTATTAAAATTAGATCAGATCAGATCGAATCAGATCGGATCAGATCCAATCAGATTAGATCAGATCAGATCAGATCCAATCAGATCAGATCAGATCTCATGAAGAATTATTATTATTATGATCATCATCATCATCATCATTATGATCATTATTATTCTTAAAAATGAAAAAGAATAAAATTTAGAAACAAGTTAAATAGAAAAACTGAGAAAATAATCCTTAATCATTAGACGTCGAAAAATTATTTTTTTAAATACATTGACAATGTCAATCTAATTCTACTTTTAAAATATATTTTTATTGCTACTTGTAATTTAAGTTTCTAAAATTTTGATCTTTTATAAAGAGGAGATATTTTAATAAAAATACGATCTCTTCTATATATTGATTATCTTAATGTAATTATTTTTTAATGTATATTAAATTAATTATTTATTCTAATGTATATATGAAGTAATTATTAAAATATTAAATTAATATTCTAATTTCACAAAAAACTAATCATAAAATGATAAATATTATTGCATTATAATATGAATGATTATTCTAATATATTACTGTACATTATTACATATATAATATGAATGATTATTACATTATTACAACAATAACAACAACCCAGTTAAATCCCACAAGAGTAGGGTCTAGGGAGGGTGTGTGTACGCAGACTTTGCCCCTACTCGAAAGTAGAGAGACTGTTTCCAAAGAGACCCCCGGCTCAACGTCGAAAGTTGCATTGCTTGACTATAACTGCTACTTCATTAGTTAAAGAAACACAGATAGTTTAGAATTCATTTTGATTTATTCCATCACACCCCAAAGACAAAAAATGGAGAAATTTTGGCTCCATCGGAGATGATGGAAACATATTACATTATTACATTATAAACTAATTTTATTTTATTAAAAATAATCATAAAATAAAAATATTGATTATATTATAATATGAATTATCATTACAATTTTCAAACATTTTATAAAGTCAAATCAAATTATTGATTTGAATTTTAAATCAAATCATAATTAATCAGATCAGATCTAATCAGATCAGATCCAATCAGATCAGAACTTATCAAAATTAGATCAGATAAAAAAAATAAGTTGAACGGAACAGAGCCTTAATCCACCCTAAGCCCCCGCCCCCCAACTCCCCTCCTTACACCCCACCCCCTCCCTTGAGGCCTTGATCTCTAATTTGGCAGCTTGGTCAGTAGGAAGTAGGAACCATTGTCCCTGCCCAAAATAGTTATCTGTGCCGCCAATTTACCGCCAAAAGACATCCAGATTTGAAACGAAATGCAAAGAGCACAAAGTAGCAACAGCGTGTGAAAGAAGCACCTCAGGTTGCGAAATGGAAGAAGAAGACGATGTGCTTTCCTCTTCAGAACCAAGCGAGTCGAGCGATGAGTCCACAATCGAGACCGACAATGAAGAAGAGGACGACCTCGATTACAATGTTAATAGCGCGGACGAAGATGACGGTCATGTAGCTCAAAAAACCAGTATCCGCTCCGGTCCTAAAGATAGAAAGTCGGAAAATGTTGCCGCTCTAGTCAGGTGCTTTAAATTTCTTATCCATGTAAACCTAATTACGATTCTAGAGTTATGATCCATTATATGTTACATCGGAAGAGATTGAAGGGGAAGATCTTTGCTGGTAATCTAGGGCATCCAATTTTCAAATACTCTCGTTTAATTTCTTAATATCAATTAAATTGTTTAAGTCTATAGATTGATTTCTGTTCTTAGTACTAATTGTCAAAGCTAAAAGCCTACGATTTTCTTCGTGCCATGTAACTAGGGGAAGCCTTGAAGTAAGGAGACAATCTATACTTCCACGAGTCTATTCAGTGGCCGATGCAGCTGTCAACATCAGAAAGCCCTTTAAACCTCCTAGCTCAAATGGTTATAGCAGTAGCAAAGAAGATCTTGCACGCCGTCTCTGGGCTCGCAAAAAGTTTGTGCCATGGGGGTCCACGAGGCCAGCATTGATTGCACTCACAAACAGGGTCAATTCTCTCGAAAGTGCCGAGAAAGATGTGTTTGAAGATGAGGTATCTCTGCCTCCAGATATTGAACCATTGGTGTTGTGGCAACCTGAAGAAATCGGAGAGGAATGCTCTACTTCAGAACCTATAGCAGTGGAACCATTACTGGTTAAGTTCCTTCGACCTCATCAAAGGTACTGTACTATTTATATGTTAATGAGTACGGAGCATGATTTGTTTTTAAAAGTTTGCAAGGTAGTGTTTGTAGAAGGTATGGCGATGTAAGTGTGATAAATTCATCAAGATGATGAATTTGCAGAAGAAGAACCGAGGAAGAAGACAAGTAGAAAAGAAGAGAAACGAGATATGGAAAGCTCAAAATATCTGATATTATCCAACTTGCTTGTCCAATATACAAAATGCTCTATATATATAAAATGCTAAGCTAAGGAAACAACGAGAAGAAAACAAACTGAACGAAAAAGGCGCAAGCCTCTAACAAACTGAAAAAACCAGCTGGCAGCAACTAACTTATCTTCACA